TTTTACAAAATACTATCGTAATTGAATTTGCTGTGTGCGTCGAATTTTTCACCTTAATCGTCGTAGATATGATACACTTAAAAGTCACGAGATTTCTGGCTACTGAAACTACCTCTTGAATATTTTTCAGAAATCTTTGCCGATATTATCGTGAAAGAAATTGATCTCCTTTTCCTTATCCATCACAATAGTGAAATTTCGTCGATGCTTTGCCTTAACGTTTCCTTGCGGGGCGCAATTTGCCGGGAACAAACGCGCGTTAAATTACGAAACATTGCAGCAAGGCTCTCTCGTGCTTATCAATAATGACAATGCTTGCCGCAAGTCTCGCCAAATATATTTTTCAGTCGTCTCCCCGGCACACAGATGGGAGACCGCTAAATGTTTGAGGAGTTCGATTTTGCGTTCGGTTGCGGTGAACATTTTAAGGCCCGCTCGGCTTAAGCATTCGGCTGCAGTAAAAAGATTTTTACGACCTACGGCTGTAGGATTCCGCGTTTCGGCCCTCTTCTCCAGATAGAACCTAGGATAGCGCATGAGCGTGTAATTGCTATCAAAGATGGATGGAAACCGATGCTTTTACTCGTGCTTTTGCGCGCGCGCGCGCGCGCGCGTGTTTGTCAGATTGTGATTTATAATTTCACCACCCGCATTCGAAATTTTCTTCGGCAAGATTGCAGAGTCGCATTTTTCGCTCTCATTACTCAAGCTCGACCGCAGAGGCCCGAGCAACGGCCGACAACTCGTTCGTATCCAGGTGGCGGTGATCGATGTGTTATCGGTGTATATGTTATATGACGAATACTGTAGAAAGATCTCCCGTACGTTGTGGTATCGCGGATAGCGCTGGGCAGAGAGAGAGAGAGAGAGAGAGAGAGAGAGAGAGAGAGAGAGAGAGAGAGGAAGGGAGAGAGAGAGAGAGAGACGAGGACAGAGGGAGTCGACGAGCATGCAAAAGAGATACGCGCTGTAGCGTGAGTGCTGTTTCGTGTATGCACGAGTAAATCCGCGGGTAAAGGATAAACATATCCTGTGATCGTAGCAAATGTACGAGCTCAAAAATTACACGCGCTGCTCGTCGTTGATCTTCCGTACGCCATACGGCGCGTTTTCGCAAACCGATTCAATTTATTCTCCGGTTTACTTTACCTGCCGGGCGAACGCATCACGCACGGTTTTATTCCGGGGTAACAGTCCGAGCTGCGCGCTGAGAAAACAAATCTCACGCACGATGCCTGAGCGTATTTTACAGGTCGCCATTTTGACAATCCGCGCACCGGCATCGAAATAGCCAACAGTTCATATCAACGGCCACCCCACTGTCTCTCGGATGTGAGAGACAGAGAGGTGGGGCGGGTGAGAGAGAGAGAGGGAGAGAGAGAGAGAGAGAGAGAGAGGGGGAGAGAGAGAGAGAGAGAGAGAGAGAGAGAGAGAGAGAGAGAGTCAAATCATTGCGGCTAAATCCAAAGGAAAAATCGCATCCGTATAATCTATGCGAAACGACGACGTAACATCAGAGTGGGGATAATTAGCCCGCTTAATCTACAAAGCGCGTTTCGGGTGTTCACAGAGCCTCCCGAATGTCACGAAATTACGGGAGCGTACGCTTCAGGGACGCGCGCGCGCGCGCGCGCACTCGCGCACTCGCGCACACGCTCCGGCAGGATCATAGAAATTTTTTAACGGTTGGCGAGGCAAAGGGCTTAATGGGGCTAAAGGAATGGAGGATCGTTAGAAGCAGCAGCCGGGAACTCCTCGGTCGCGCGCGCGCTGCGGCGCGCCGGGACGGACACTGTTCGTTCGACTCGTACGTAGGTGGGTGAGGGCGGGAGATGCGTATCATCGCGGAGTGCTGTTCCATGTATGCACGAGTAAATCCGCAGATGGAGAGTAAATACACACCCCTCGCGAGAGAGATCGCGAGGCTGGGTTTTGCCGGTACAGGGCGCGTCACGCGCGTCATACGCAGCCGCGCGTGCTCCTCTTCCGCGAGTTTTGCGAACGAGCGCCGTTCCTCCGTCGCTCCGTTGGCTCCGAGCGCCGAACGAACCCCCCTCCCCTCCCGACGACGCCGACTTTCTCGCTTGTGCGAGCGCTCTCGCCTACGCTTCATTGGTGTCTTTATACCCTTGTAAATTGCGAGATTAGCGCGGCTTCTCTTCCCCCGTACCACCTCGTCGTCGTCGTCGTCGTCGTCGTCGTCGTCGTCGTCGTCAAAGCGGGAAAGTCAGAGTGGAAATTACAGCGAGGTGATTTTACAAAAGGACCGTAACCTAACCTCCCGCCCCGTAACCATCGCTTTTCCCCGGTGGAATCATACGCACGATCGCGCCTAGTCGTCCGTCCCTCGGCGAATTGTTCGCGCTGCCTGGCGCGTGAGCGCGATTTAGGATAATCGCGATTTTGCGCGCAACGAGAAGCCGGCCGTGAAGAGATAGGCGCGACGCGAGAGACAGACGAGAGAGGCAGATCACAGCGGAATTCTCTATGCCGAAGCGAGGCGAGGTGGATTCAGGAAGGAGCCTGGAAGAGTGGGGGGGGGGGGGAGCGGAAGGACTAGTTTTGGCTACTAGAGCTTCGACTCTCGCTAATCGGTTCTTTTCGCCCAGCTACGTCAATCTCACGTGGCTCGTTCGGCCGACGTACTGTTCGCGTATACGCAGCTTACTTAATTGGACCGTCTCCAAGTTTCCATTCGCCTCGATCACCTCCCGCGCAGTCACGTACATTCGCGCGTTACCGCGGGAGGTTGCCGAGAGGTATCATATGCGTTACGGTGTGTAATAGGAAAATCAACGATTACTTCTCCGTCGAGCACGAACGCGCCGCTTTATCATCGTTAGACACGTATTACGCGAAAACTTACGGGAAACGCGTGCGAACGGCGTTATACGTTTACTTGAGAGATTGCGACTAGGTGGGAGGTGGGTTCGATTTAGTTTTCGATCGGGCGATTTGCATCCAAACCGAAGTCGGCCTCTGCGGCCTCCTCCCGCGCGACTAAATCGACAAACAATAATTTAATCGATCGCGAGGGAAAAACACTCACTTGTGCGTTCATACGTTCACGGCTTGCTTGTTATTTTAATTAAAGCGGACGAATATATCGTGGGCGATTTAGATTCGCGGATAGAGGGAGCGATACACGAAGAATAAGGTACACGTTGTTGCCACGTGACGACAAGGAATTGAAATTTACCGGCGGGAAAGATAAGCGTTTCATCCCTGATCCGCCATGATAAACGTTTCACGAGGGATTTTTCAAGAGGTGCTCGACGAAGATCTCAGCGGGTAGGGGAGAAGTAAGGATTTTTTCAGGTAGAAAATTAAAGCGGGAGCTTAGGAGAAGCCCTCGAAATAAAACACTAATTCGAAGGATCGATATGTTCTGCACAGTTCGTGAACATGGCGCGCGCGCGAGCGAGGGTCGGCCGGAGCCAACTTCGAAATATTACTGGCAGGGATGCGATAAGGATTATGGGTCCCCAATTAAAGTCCGGAAAATAATAAAAGACGAACAACGGCGGAATTACTTTCGCTCCGTCCCTCTCGCGACGCGACCTTCTCCGTCTAGTTGAATTCGGAGAAGAAGTCCGAACGTTTTCAAGTTAATCCCCTCGGATTAAGGCGAGGCGTCGATGAAATTTTAGTCTCTCGCCATTTTAATGCGTATTTTTTTGCTCTCTCTCTCTCTCTCTCTCTCTCTCCGTTTCACACGTGTGGTGCACGCTGTAAAAATTTAATACGATCGCGATCAGATCGCTGTCGGAATATTATGTGCGATCGCGACGCATCTTCCATCTGGCGATCTCCTCGACGATCTCTCATCGACGTCTACTTACCTTCCTTGCTCTCGTTCGAAATTTAATTTACTTACTTAATTATCTAGATCTCTCTGGATTGTTGATAGTCGCGTAGCAAAATTTCAAGGATTACAGCGAGAGTGCTTCGCTCGGAGGGACATGCCGTTACGCCGACTTTAGCATTAAAAGATTGGCGCCCCAAGGTCGACTTGAAAGGGAGATCGCACAAAGTATCACGAGGATTATCGAACTCGGCGCTCAAGAACGCGGAAAATTAGGCTTCTCGCATTGCGGTTCAACCTCCGTCTCTCTCGCTCTCTCTCTCTCTCTCTCTCTCTCTCTCTCTCTCTCTCTCTCTCTCTCTCTTTTTCTCGCCGTCTTGTGGAAGTCCGCCCGCCCCTCTGTCGCTACCTTTTCGTCGCTCGCTCTTTTAACCGCTTTTAACGAGGACTCCCGCGAGACATTTTTTGTTCTTGTTTTTCAACTGTCGACACGTGACTCGAACATATGCTCGCCTCTCAGCTACGTTTTCATGATCGTTTCGCGCGTATCGCGCACATTTCCCTTCCCTCCGCACGACGGCCGACCGTAAGGAAAATTAATAATAACGATGAACGATAATACTAATAATACGAAGCAGGACTGCTCATGAAGATAACGCGACATTTCGCCGGTCGCATTCCTTTCCTCCGGCGATCGATAGTACTCGGGAGAGAAAACTACAAATTGATCGTAAGAAGAATCGGGATGATAAGAAATGTGAATAACGAAGCAGGGCTTATTTATATCTCGCTGCTCTCAGAGGAGGATAACGCGTTTCACGTGTTTCGCCAGTTTCGTCCCTTTTTTCGCGGACGATCGCGTGTTCGCGGGAGGGAAAATTCAAAAATTGATCGCAAGAGGGATCAACAATACAGATTGAAATAAGGTCGGTAATAAGGCGGGGCTTATTCACTTGTCGCTGCTCTCGCGAAGGCAACGCGACACAAGCGGGAATATTAATGCAGTCGCGCGCTCGCTGCAAAGAGGGCAAATTTTTCGCGCAGGAAATGGAGCTCCTTCGGCGTCTTGGAAGACGACGCCGTAGGCTGCGACGAGCTGCCTTCCTATAACGACGACGCGCGGTACACACAAACGCGCGGCATCCTTTTTGCGCGCGCCAGCGCGTAGCTATATACCTACATCTCTAGTACTCACTTTTCCATCTGGACTGCATACTTTAATCCCCGCGAGCGAGACTATCAGGAGAACGGGCGTGAATCGATCGCTGTACTGAAACAAACAGATCAAAAGTCGTGCATATAGCGGCTGCTGAATCAAAAGGTCCATGGTCGGCGGATATTTCCACCCTGCTTGCGCGTTTCTCACATTGAAACTTAAATTCGATATTTCCAGAGTTATGGACACTTATATGTATCTCTATACGTGTACATACATGTGACGAGCCCGATACGATTCTATTTAGGAGCAAGATTTCGTTACGCATTAAAGCTCTCGAATTTAGCTCGCGCGTATCCTCTTTTGCCTCGCGGTTCGTGGCATAAAAACTATTTGTGCCTCGCGATATTCGCGTTATGGAGACAAAAGAATCGTATCCGTAATTTCGACGAGCGATACCGCCACGTGCGCGCAGCAGCACCGTGCTTGAAGCAGCGGCCGCTATCAAGCACCCTGCGCAACCGGGGGATAACGCGTTTATAATTTAGTCCATAATTTGGTTCTTAGATGCGGCTGAGACCGCGGCGCGGCGCGGCGCGGCGTCCCCTTCATACCGGCGAGATCGCCGGAGCATCCTGCAACTTTGAAATGGTCGTCCAATTTCGAAATTGAAAAGTTGGCAAGCCACGCGGCAGCTTCGGAATATGAGACGGACTCTACGCAGGAATGTTCCCTGTTTCTGCTCGGAGACACGGTTCATTGTCTTGAAAAGCCAAGGTAGACGCCGCCGTGCCGCGCTCGTGCACAAAAGGGGATCTCCGGTATAATTATGGTAACGCACAGGATTGTGTTCGATAGAGGACACCGGCGGCGCGCAATCTTTTCCTTCTTCTCTCCTCTACACGACAATCCGTGAAATCCGCCTCACTCGCAATATCTCGCTGTACTTGCTCGCGCGATACTTTCAGTCGTCTCGCTTGTATCGCGAGATGTCTCGCGTAATTAGAACGGGCGAATTTCCGCATTGACGCACAAAAGCGGCGCAAAAGTCGCGCATCGAGGGAAAGAAGCTTTTCAAGACTATGACAAGGCGGCTCCTCCTCGGTTTACGGTAATTATAAATTAAGAATGTACAAGCGACCGCGACCCCGACGGGCATTGACAATTTTCGCGTCCACAGCAAGCTTTGTTTGCAAGCACTCGTAACGAGGCATTTCGATACGACGACGACTGCGAAGAAGCGAGCGATGACGAGGGCGTAATTTAATGTAATTTACTTTAATGTATCTGCGCGTAGCTTCAAGCGCTTTAAGAACCCTCGTTTCTCGAGACACGACAATAATTATGCCTCCTTATTATAAGAATATCCGACAATAAGGAAGGCTCTTTCTCATCAACTGTGTCTTATGTACTTCCGGCTGTCTCCATCTCGGCGCTGGAGGGACTGCACAGCTTAATCCGCCGCTTTCCTCGCGCTTTTTTCCCTAATGGTTATTTACCCGAGAGAGCTGCCTGTTTTACTTCTCGATATAATATTTTCATTCCCGTCGCTCTCTTGGATATTGTGCAATTAGATGTGTAAATAGCTGATTACGAGAGTAGAATTAAATGCAAACAAATAGGCGAGGAGAGTGTGAAGCATTCGTAAGAAGCATAAGCTTCGTAAAAAAATAATGTTTTCCGTATAGAAAATAATATTTAAGAAATATCGCGTTGAAATCTTTCATTTCGCCGGAAGAAGCGGCACACGATGGTATTTTATTTGTGCATTTTGTAGGGATCATTGTTTTTTTTTGAGATTGTGCGCACGTACAAAAGAAAGAGCTCGTTAAATCTCTCGTCGGAAATGAACATTTGACAAATCAGTCGGTCGGTAGGTCTGCGCGTTAAGCGGTAATTCTTCGGCGATTCGCGTTGCCTGCAAAAAATTGCCAATTCGTTCGAGCCGGTTGCTCGAACGAATGCTTATGCTTGAACGAACGACTTGCTTATGCGTCCGTCCTCCTCATTCGATATCCATCAGAAGAGTACAGACGTAGCATTCACGGTGCAAAAGTTTTTCTCTTTATTACGCTGTTTCTGTTTCTTTTTTCTTTCTCGTTACTGCTGCCGACGCTGTCATCATCGAGAAATATCCGAAGCGGCGTCGCGACGACGCGAATACGAAACGTCGCAATTTTCCTCGTCGTCAGGAATATGACTTCTCAGTTTTTACACGCGACAGGATATAATAAGACGTCAGAGGAGAGTCAAGGAGAGTGAATATTAGGAAAATGAGGTCTCATGAGAGAGATGTTCTCCAAATGGCAATATTACGCGACATCTAAAAATTGCGCAGAGTGAAAAACCTTTTTTCTCAATCCATTTAAAAGGTCTCGTTACTTTGGGAAATGCTTCTTGAAGCACTCGCATACTTTCGCAGAGTGTAACGCATCTCCCGCAATAATTACATTGACTTTACCGCGGACGACGCCGTTTTTACGAAACCATAACGAGGATAATTTCTCAAACGAACGTTTACTTCTCTCTCTCTCTCTCTCTCTCTCTCTCTCTCTCTCTCTCTCTCTCTCTCGGTAAAGTCCGAGACCCAGGGAAAGACCCGAGGGAAAGTTCATACAACACGACCCTTTTGATAATCGCGTCTCTCTCTCTCTCTCTCTCTCTCTCTCTCTCTCTCTCTCTCGCTCTCCGAGTCGTGCTTATTTAACATTCATTGCTGCGAAAGCTGCAACATGTGAGACATCTTGCTGCGCGGACCGATGCACGATCATTACCGTCTTCGTCGAGACGGAAAGGACGCGCGCTCAAGTTTCAGCGGACTACACTGCGCGCGCGAACTTAAGGTTTGCTTAAGGAAACTGCCAGACGCGGTTGCGAATACGCGGAAAAGGCGTGGTGGAGACCTCGTCAACCGTCCGGTCCACCGGGGGGGTCTCGAATCCAACCCCCGTCGCCGTACATCCGTCGTTATTCGCCGGCGTGGTACGGGGGTTGCATGCACCGAACGGTTCATGGGAACGACCGTTGCGAGTCTCGCAAGAAGACTCGCGTGTGAAATTTATTCATCGGCCGGGAAACGGCGAGCGACGGAGTCGTTCGTGTCTCGGAGCAGCTTTCGAGTAACCTTAGGACTTCGTTTACGGCCGCGTCCGTCAGACATTCCACAGACATCGTGCCGACGAAAAACTCTGCCCAAGCTCTCTCTCTCTCTCTCTCTCTCTCTCTCTCTCTCTATCTCTCTCTGGAATCGCTCCCGCTTCCAATTTGTTAGCAGGCAAACCTACAGACGCCAAGTGCTACGGTTGATCCTTTCCTAATTACGGTGTCTCCCGACGCGATCTTTGCATTACCTTATTATCCGCCGGGGTTTCTTCCCTTCCGCCGCGTCGGAACTTTTCCTCTCCGCCCCTCCCTGCCCCTACCCTTTCTTTTTGATATTCTCTCAGCTCCGGTTACCCGCTTATTCCCGAAACAATCGAGTTACGTGGGACGTAAGGATGTTATCCAACTACCAGCGAGGTCGCGCCGGAAAGTAATTTGCAGGCCGCCACTCGATTATCCTTATCGCTGCTCGCTATCGGCGCGATTGTAATTACTGTTCTAATATACGCGCTAATTACGCGTTAGCGACGCAGATGCATGGTGATGACGAGAAAAAAACAATGGGATAACGCGGCGGCGGCGGCAATCTGGTCGCACGGCGCGAAGGAGCGAAAGGAGCTCCATTACTCTTGTTGCCGCCGCGTAATCGCGCGACATAAGAGACGAAGGGGGAAGAAGGACGACGGCGCGGCGATGCATATTGCATCACGGGACCGCGGCAGCTCTACGTACAGCTCCCCTCCCCCGTTACGCGATAAACGCTTCCCGAGATAATCGGGAGTTTCGCGACCGTAGTAGACGCGCGCAGATCGAACGTGGCCGGAACGAAGTTTTCTTGTTTCGACGAGAGTGACTAATGAGATTGTAAACAGAAGCCGCGCGCGCCTAGGCAAAATATAGACGGTGGCCGGAAATAACGAGGGAGGGAAAGACGCCCCGAGACGGAAAACGCGCGCCAGCCTCGACACGTTTTCCGGTGTATTATTAAAGGAATCGGCCCGTCTGAATATTTCTGCGAAGCGCAAGTTCCTTCCCTCCCGCTCCCTCCTCGCCTGCTGCCATCCACCCCCGTGCTTATCTGCTCCATGCGAGTTCGCGATTGTCCAGGAAGCCGGGCTACGTTTCCGTCTCTCGCCGCGATGCGATCTTCGATCGCTCCGTGACGTGTCCCGAAGGCAATGCCGATGCAACCCGTCTGGTCTCGGGGGTGGAACAACGTGCTCCGTAGGCGCGCGCGGAAACGACGTCTGACGGCGTTCTTACTTTCTTCATGCCGTGTCGCGCGTCGCGGGCGCGACGCACGACAGTGGGAACAAATAGAAATTCACTGTTGAAAAATCGCTAGAGAGCACAATTTATAGAGAGCAATCGGGACGCAATCGGGGGTTTTTTTCTTTTCAAATTAAACGTTAATCAATGTAGAAAAGAGAAACTGTCGGGCCCGATTTTTGAGAGCATTCTTTTAAATTTTGCGGTATTATGAAGAATTTGTAAGAAATTATCGAGTTTTGCGAGCCTCTGTTACAAATGGAAAAACTTACCATCTCTTCGCTGCGCAGAACAGTGCACTAAGGTTTCGTAATCAGCATCGCTGATTACGAAAAATGATATAAAAATCAGAATTTGGCAGTTGATAATTGCTAATCTCCTGTCGTCATAGATAAAATCATTGTTTGAAATTACTTTTTTTTTTTCGGGGCGAACGGAAGAAGAACAAAAGAAGCGAAAGATTATTATTTTTACTCAGAAAAATTACGTATTATTTACACCTGTTTTATACGCATTGCTACAAATTTTTGCCAAATTTTTATAGCTCATGTATACTAAAAGCAAAAACAAAAGAAAAAAATTACGGGTGAAAATTCAGCCGTTCTAATAATAAGAGGTAACGAAAATATCCTAGTGTTCGAGGATTAATTGAAAACCTAATTACGTTGATTCTCTTTGCATCGGGATTATGTTGTCTGTATTATGTCTCGTCTCTCTGTATTAGGATTTCTTGTTTCTACCAT